TAGGTAATGAATTATAATAAAACTGGTAGTTGTCTCGTTCTCCAATCTTGGGCGTGGTATCACATACCTTTTTTTGTCTGATCGTGAATGAGTCATTTGTCTTCTCGTTATTATTAAGATAATTTTAATACTAAATTTATTTATAAATAATTTTTTGACTATAAAATGAAATATATTTTTATATTAAATAGGTGGTCATCAACCAAAAAAAATCATTGTGATATCCTGATGAATTAGATCATCCTCCGAGATTGCACTATTGACCAGATGTTGTGAACTCATATCATTCGCCCTCACTTAACAGAGAGTTTTTTTTACCTTATCTCTCATTGATTGGCTTAATAATAATTTAAAGAACTCTGCAGGTTCGGTGAATGATACTTGCTCCTGGAAACACCTATTTGGGATTCTGCTCTAGAGACTCTGGAAGCAACGCTGCTGTTTTATCTTTCGTGGGGAGATATGGTCTACATCGACCATTATCCAGTGTGCTCATTCCAGAGCCCAATCAATCCGAGCTAAGGGCACCTCTAACAGTTTAGACGTCAGCAACACAACTCGAAAACATACCTGGCGTCCCCATCCCTGGAATCATTAAACTAAATTTTAACAGAGCTGTCAACACCTCTTCTATGGATGCCTCCGGTGGTGGCATTTTCAGAGACTCTAAGGGGACGTGGTTTTGGGTTACTATCGCAGGGTTGGTCGATGTTCGACTCTCCATGCTGAATTGTGGGCTCTCTTTGATGGACTGAATATTTCCTGGAATCAAGGATTCAAACGAATCGCTATTGAAATGGATAGTAGAGAAGTTGTCATGCTTTTCTCCTCCCTGGCTCCGTCTTTTGAACCAACTCTTACTCGTCGAATTCGGTCCTTCTTCCAACGTCAATGGAACATCAATTTGACTCACATAAACAGAGAAGCCAATAGTGTCGATGATGTACTGGCACATCTCGGTCGCACGGAGTTGCTGGAGGTCACTATCCTTTCTCACCCATCTGCTGAAGCCCACCTATCCATCCAACTCGAAGTAGATACCTGGAGAAGAAGCTCTAACCGTTGTTAACACATCTTTTTCCCTTTGTAACAAAAAATAAATAAATAATCTATAAATATTTTAACTTATAATTTGTTTTAACTTATATACTATTAGGTGTTAAATTTTTTATTTAAGTAAAACTATTAGTGAAAATGTCACATACCATACATAGTAAACGACTACTAGCATATAAATAAATTTAATAATTTTAAATATAAATGAGCCTTCTAATATACACAAGTTTTAAACTTCATCAAGTAGTTTAAGTGGTAAAAAAATATTGTTGTTTTTAGAAATTTTATATTCTAACAACGGTGTCTATAGGAAAGGGCCGGTCCTGACAAGTTTTTAGCTTGGAAGACATTAGAAAAACGTCACTTAATTCAAAAAACAATGAGAAATATGTATTAATTTTTTATTAAATTAAACAAATAATAATTCATTATAATATCAAAAATAATAAAAATATATTTAAGCATATAAATACTTATAAAAAAACTAGCTTTGAGCATTTCTTGATTCAAAATCATTGATGATAGTGTCAACGTCAATACTTTCAACATATTTTTATCAACACATAACATATCATTTGAAAAATAAAAGAACGAACTTATCTAGAATTTGGAACAATATTCAATATGATTCAAGCACCACAATTGATAATAAACAATTGTGACTTTGTGTTTGTGAGAAACATGAGAAACTAAAAAGTGAAACTAATAATTTTTTAGAGGAATTGTAAAATATGAAAGAAAAACGAAACATGCTAATTATACTTAATTTTTTTCTCCCATTGAGTTTTAAAGAGAAAAAATAGCATTAATAATCAACACCGTTTTTCGCCCGGGCGGGGAAAAGACCGATACCGACTCGGAGATTTTCTCTTTGAAAAGAATTTTCAAAATGTGAGGAGTCGCCACCAATCTTTAAGGTGTGATTGGGACACCATAAAAATGGGTGATTTTAATAGAACATTGAGTTTTTATCAAAATATTGAGTTTTGGGGTCTGCAAAAATCCAAAAATCGGGTTCGAGAGTCAGTTACGCGTGGGGAAGGATTAACACCCCCACAAGCGCCCAAAAATTGATACCTAGTTGATTACTCCATATTTAAAATCAGATATCTTGAGTTCAATATTTATTTAATTTAAAAATCATTAAGGATGCAGAGTTTGAAAAGGGTATTCGTTTATTGAGACCGATAGCATTCGCTCCTGAGCATAAATACGGGAGATCATCTACTATGTCTAATAATCGAACATTGCCTTGTTTTTAGAAAACATGATGCGGTTTTGAAAATGATGTCGACTTATTTAGGGAATTACCAGTAGTTACCCCTGAGCATGATTGCGGGAGATATAATATTAATTCTTTAAATAAGTGAACAATGCCTTAGGGTTAAAATAAAATGCAATTAAACAAAATTTTATTCAATCCTAATTAATCTAAGGTAAATTAAGGCTTTTTCTAACTTAATGTGTCAAATTATGAGAATTAAGAAACCTAGGGGCTCAAATATAAAAACGTAGGCTCTAATATTAATCCTATTTGATTTTAAATAATTATTGAATCAAATAACCGAAATGGTTCCTCGAGCTTTTAAGCGAGAGCCACTTCGAATTATCCCCTAAATTAAGAGACTAATTTGAAATCTAAGTTAAAATGGAGGTTCTGTTTAACCTATTTAATTAAGTTAATATTAAGAGTCTAATCTAAGTTCAGGGACTTAAAAGGTGAAAGTCTAAAGTACCGAGTTCTAAAAGGCTTAAAAGAATAAGGACCTAAAACGACAACTTCTAAAGTTAATGGGGCTAATTAAAAAATCTAATTTTTATCTAAATTATTAAACATTAAGTTTTAGAAAATATTAATTATTAATTAATTTTAGAATCGAACAATCGATTCGAGTAATTGGTAGTATAATGCGAAAACTCGACTCAAATTGCTCCTTAATTAAACTAAAGTGTCATCCTAATTTCTACATTTGATTCAAGTATTAATATAATTTAAAACTAAATCTAGAATTTAAACTATGAAAAAAAGAAACATTTAATAATAAACTTCATTTAAAAAAATAAAAACAAACAAACAAAAACAACAAAAAATAAAATAAATAAAATAAACCTAAAATATGATAACCTGATTGTATAAATATAAAATCACTAAACTAAAAGATAATAAACTAATCATGCAATGAGGACTAAATTAAAATAAACCAAAATGTAAGGGCTAAATCGAAATAAAATAAAATAAATAACTAAAATGCAAAAAATAAGTAGTAACTAAATCAAAATAAACAGTGACCAAAATACCAAAATTAAAATAACAGTACCTAAATCAGAAACTAATAGTGACTAATTAAAATAAAACAAAACAGAATAATAAAATTACAATAAATTAGAAACGAAAGGTCCACTGACCAAAATGTAAAAACACGGCAAAGTTTGGGGGACTAAATAGTTAATTTATGAAAAAATATAAAGCATGCACATAAAAATGTAAAATATCAATTTTTGTCCCTATAAGGACCAAAATACAAAAATACGACAAAGGTTGGGGGATTTATGATGCAATTTACCCCTAAATTTTCTCTATATATACCAACTCTCTCCTTCTTTTTTCATTTGAAACACAAAACAGAAAAAAATAGAGAGCTCTCCACTCTCTTCTTGGCCGCCGACCGGATGTCGCTGTCGCCATACCGCTGTCGCCTTTGGTGGTCGTTGGCCACCAAAATTCACGGGGAGGCTCATCTCGGGCTCTTCGTCATGGATCGAGGTTGGTTTCACACGAAATGGCCTCCATCTCCGTGAAAACGGCCGAGACCGTTCGATTTTCTGAGCTCCAGTGACTCCTCCGACGACTCAAGGTAAGATTTCGATCTAGCCCCCTTTATTTTCCATATTTTTATGTGAAATTGGTTGTTGCATGCTCGATTTAAGAAAAAAACTGTATTTTTTTGTTTTATTCAATACATATATATATGTACATTAGTGTTTTAAGAACGAACCTAAAACATGTTTTTGTTTCGATGTCTAAAAAACTTTGCTCTTCGCAGAGATTAAAACCGAAAATAAAAACATAATAATAATAATCAGTAAGCTATTTGAATACCAAAAAAAAGGGATAAAAACCTTGTTTATTGCCTTGAACGAAATTAGTTACAGTGGGTTCTTTTTTCAGAATCCCAGAGAGCTTTTACATTGTTTGCTTTGGCGTTTTATACCCATTACAGAGAAAATATGAAATGATTCTTATTTGTTATCTTGTTTGTTATCTTTGCATAAGCATGGAGATGGTGGCGTGCATGGCAGCTTTACTGGTATTGAGGCAGAAACAGGGTGGATTAAGGTTGGGGAAGAAAATGGTGGGTTGTGATTGGGTGAAGTGAGCGGCTGCCCAGCTGGGTAAAGTATACCCGGGTCGGGTTGGATTTGGGTGAGCCTGGGTCGGGTTTGATTTTGGGCCCCGGGTCTGGATTTTTTACTTGGGTCTCAGTTGAGTTGAATTTGTAAAAAGGGGTTGGGGTTTTTTAGTTAGGCTTAAAATATAAAAGGGTTTGGGTTGTAATTTAAAATGATGCTCACAACCCTCCTCTTTGAGTGGAGTTTATTTCATAAAAGGAAACTTTCATCTTTTGTTGGTTCTTCATTCACCACCAATTCAACAATACCCCCTGGGGCCATATCCCAATCTTGAAGCTGATTCGAGTTACCATGCTCTTTAACATGTCCTTGATCCTGTGTTGGTGTCACATTATCCTCACCATTAATGTTCAGAGTCTCAATCAAGGCCTTTACAGCAGGACCCTCTAGTGGTTTCTCTCCATGAATCAAGATAGTCACCATGTACATCAATTTAGACATATGCTCCCTTGATTCACACTGAAACTTATTTGTCTGATCAATCATCTCTTGCTGAGTCTTAACAAGTTGCTCTTGGAGATTCTCGATTTTACTAACCCATGCCAAAATCTCATTCATGGCTTTTATCTTTCTCTAGGAAGACCAAGTTGGCTCCACTTTGCTTTTTAGAATTTCTGTCATGGAATGCTCCATAAATTATTCCCAAATTTTCATGATTGAATACATGTAGAAAATATTTGAAACAAACAAAATATGAATGTGTAATGCCAAAAACTACAGATGCAAAATGAAAAATGCCAATACAGCAAGGAATTGATCCCAAAAGTAACTGTTCCTTAAACAATTCTTGAAAAATCGACAATGTCTTGGTACACTGGGAAGTGAAAATCTGGTCCATCTGTAAGTCGCCTAGCTCCTGCGAGCATCCGGGTATTGCATAGTCTTAAAAGCTTTTACTTTATCTCATACTTTCAGAAGTCTTTCGAGTTGGTTCGTGATCTGTAACTATTGGTTTCAGCGTCGAACATTCTTGAATCCAACTTGTTACCTCAGCATGCAAATGTCTGGCTCGTCTCCTTGGTAGGTAGACTCCCCCTTGACGTTATTCGATCTACGTGGAGCATCTTCAAAATCCTACTAATCCCAGGCATTGTTGCATTGTTTTTCAAGAACCTTCTAAATGATCAGTTATTTAGGGATCAATACCTTTGAATGATATGTCATGTTCATGAAAAAATGCAATAAGAGCAGACAAAAGGAAACCAATGTTAGTATAAACAAGACAAAAAGAATCGAGTTAGTTGAAATGATTAGTAAAAACATGTAATCTTAGCAGAAATAATTAAATTTAACTCAAAGTTGAGAATGAAAAATAATCATATAAAAGAAATTAATAGTCCTAACTGCATGCGTTCTAGTTCTCCTAAGTTATCCACATGGCTCTAGCGTGGTAGGTTTACTAAATTCTCTATATGAGGCTGGGGTTCTAGCAAAGGTTCCCGAGCAATTTTTACAACCTGCTAAGATTGACCCCGATTCTGGCCCATTACAGACTTGCGAATCGGGTTCAACTCAGGGGATCACACCACTAAAAGCATACCTCGGATCTGATATCCAGATAGGCAACTTAGGATGTTTTCCAAAGATACTTTATCAAACCCACACAAGGAAGCACAATGCTCTTCGTGAGGTGTGACGTTCCTCCCTACTTAGGTAAACTAGGTTGGAGCTCGGGTTTAGAGCTATGATATGCATCAATCTTAAATAATTTCACGAAGTGTAAGCATTAACCAAAGAGAATCTCTTTTTCTTTTGAAAAATCATAATGAACTGTAAATTAAAATAAGATCGAAATCGTAATTTCTAGAATCATAAATATAGGATAACCAACTCGTGGCTCGACTCTCAATTTGTTTTAAAAGAGATTTGGTGAATTAATGGTGTGAATTTAGAAAGATCAAAATTAAAAAGATTCAATTGATTTTTTTTAAATTTTAAGAAAGAAATATTGAATTAGAGTTTTGTTGAAGTTACACAGTTTATTAATATTAATATAAAAATTTAATAATAGCAATTGACACTTTAATAAAGTCATGGGCCCTATTATTTTATTTTGTATTTTTTTAAAAATTTATTATCTTTAATAAACTTATGACCCCATTACTTTTTATAATTTTTTAATTTAATATCAAAAATAAAATATATTATATTAAAAAAATTGTTGCCTTTGGGGCGCCCCTCCTACTATGGCCCAGAGCCAACCATGTTATAGGGTATTATGTTTCATTATGTTGTCAATAAATTAATAAAGTTATGAATAAATATTAATTTTTTTTATAAATTCTAAATTTAATCTTAATCCTACGTAGAGATGGAAGATGGACTCGAGGGAAAAGAATGGAAGTGTTCATATTAGGTATAGAACTCATAGGCTAAGGAAATATAAGATAACAAAGATAAATAATTTGATCATACTTACACCAAATAAATATTATTTATATTCACTCCAAAATTTGTAATGTATTATTTTTTTCTTTCTTCGGTACATCTTGTTGACAAATATTTCACCGCAAAATATTTGGATTTTTTTTGTTGATACATTATCACAACAAAAATATTAGTACATTTGGTTTGAAAACTGCATAGGATGCATAGAAAATAGGCTTAATACTTATTTAACAAACAACATGACTGATTCTCCCAAATTATTAAAACCTCCAGATGGCAACTTTCTGATGTTTTTTCAACAGTAAACTAGTCCAAAGATCGAACTTTGAAATTATCAAAACAAGCTAAAGCTGATAAAGCTCAGGACTAAGACACGGTTTAAGAAGCACTTTAAGCGGCGTCGCTTTCACATTCGCCAAGCTAGCGCTCTCGGTCATATCCACCGGTTGGCCACCGGGCGTGTCGATGTCAAAGCAGTGCAATACGCTAGCCATCGATAAATGAATAACTTGGAGCGCCAGTGAGACCCCCGAGCAGGCTCGGCGTCCTGCCCCAAAAGGAAGGAGTTCGAAATTCTGACCTCTTAAATCAAGATCTTTATGTGTGGTCAAAAACCTCTCGGCTTGAACTCATCGGGGTCGGTCCAAACGCGGTCGTCGTGTTGGATTTGCCAAGCGTTTAACAGCAAGCGTGTGCCCGGGGTTACGTGGTAACCGTTGGAGAGGGTGCACTCTTCCATCGCTGCTCGGAGGGCAAGTATGGGGCTGGGTGGGTACAGGCGGAGGGTTTCCTTGACAATTGCTTGGAGGTAAACCAGGTTCTTGATATCAGACTCCTCCACGTGCCTGTCTTTACCAACGTGGGTGGCCAATTCTTCTTTGGCCTTTTTTAAGGCATGTCGATTGTTTAGGAGTAAAGCTAGACCCCAAATGAGTGGAACCATGTTTGAGTCCGCCGCACCCAGAATCAAATTCTGCGTAATAAAAAAAAGTGAAGCGCTCAAAAGTCAATATTGCACAAACTGGATCACAAGGAAAACGAGACGGCAACTTTGACTTCTAATTTGTATATAAAGTAAAATATAAATCCCCATCAATTATTGTGTTACGGCTGATGCGAAGGAAATGGATATTTGACATGACCTTTTAAAAATGGATAAAACATGTCATTAGTCATCCAACTATCACTTTCATTCTATTTTGGTCACCAAATTATTTTTTTAAATGATCACTAACGTTATATTTTGGTTTCATTTTGATCATCTGCCATTAAAAAATTAATAGAACTGTTGACATCACAATTTTAAATTTTTCAATGATGATGTGACATTACCTTATAGTAACACGTCAATATCATCATTAATTTTTTAATGAAGAGTGAACAAAATGAAATCAAAACGTAACTTTAGTATTAATTTTGAAAAAAATATAGTACCAAATTTAACACCCCAAAATTTATTATAATGGTCATTTTGGCCCTATATATTTTTTGAAGAATTCTTCCCCGCCACCACGTTTCATTTTGGGAAAAAAACTCTTTATAGATGAAAATTTTTAGTTAATACACGATTAACACTTTAAAATATGATCTTTTTACACTAAAATGAAATGTTTAGTGCTAAAATGCCCCATTAAAAAATAAGGGTCAAAATGACTATTCTATCAAATCTTACAGGCATTTTCACCTAAAACAATACGTTGGGGTAAAATGGTTCAAAAAACGAATAGGGGCCAAAATGACCATTTTGATAAATGTTAGGCCCAAATTTGCTATTATGCCTTTTTTTAAAAAAAAAAGAGTAATTGGATGATGAAAACAAACGAATGTGATAATTGATTAAGTGGCCTTTAGAAATGGTGTTTAATTAAGAAATGATAGGTTTGAAGGTAGTTTACCAGGCAAGTGGCTTTGGTAATAGTATCTGCATCGACATCAAAGCCATTCAGCTTGGCATCTTCGGTGATAGTGAGCATCACATCCATGAAATCTTGATCTTCCTTTCGCTCCCCAACAGACACTCTCTTCTGTTTATGCTCGTCAAGCCAAGTTTGTACGAAAACGTCCAATTCTTTAGCCACTCTCTTCATTGATTTCTTATGTCCGCCGAGGTCTAACCACCAAAGAAACGGTATCGCATCGGACAAAATGAAAGTCCCAAACAAATGAAAGTATTCTTTAATCGATTTCTGGCATTGACGTGCCTCTCCTTCATTGGAATTAGCGGTGTCCCCATAGTATCTTTTCCCCACCACGATTCTAAACGCCAGATTATGAGTTAAATCAGCAAACCACTGCTTCATGTCCACCAAAACACTGCCTTGCTCTCCACATTTTGTCGTCCAAGTGTTGTACAAGTCTTTGATCCCGATTTGCACCTCCGAGGCCCGCGTCTGCTTGAAGTTCGACATATCCAGCCGGTGATTCGACAGAAGCTCGAGCGTCGTTATCTTCCGCATCTCACGCCAGTAATCCCCGTATGGAGCGAACCCGAACATAGCATAGTTATAACCTAGAAGCTTTGAGGCAGATAAACTCGGTCTGGTAGCGAAAGCCTTATCATGGACCGTCAAAAGCTCTTTTGCCATTTCCATATTCCCCACCACCAAAGCTTTATGGGATCCGAGTCTAATACTAAACACCGGTCCATACTTTTTGGATAACCCAAAAAGTGTCCTGTAAAGGATTTCCTTGCTGCTAAAGAGATGCAAGTGGCCGATAAGCGGCCAAGCGCCTCAGCTTCCGGTACACTGCCGTTCTTTCCACTGCGACTGATAAGTTTATATATCAACAGGGTGACAAAGGGGGCAACGAGAAGAGATGGCCAGTAGTGAAAAAGGGTATCCATATATGAACCAGGCATACTGGAGATCATATTTGGATCAATTATGGAAATACAAGGTAGGTGGATATTTGCTTTCATTAACTACCCATGTATTTATACAGGTCACCCGATACAAGGGATTCATTGAACACTGATATTTTTTTTGGTTTTAGTCAACTTTATCTAATTTTTATTTAGTCTTTCTTTAATTGTTTGAATCTCTACTCTGTTCCAGTTTGGTGTCTATAAATTTATGTGGATAATTAACTCATACCTTAAAATATACTATGTGATGAGAATTTTGATATCACTTGTCCCATTTTTCAATCATTTTCTCTATTATACATCTTAAAATTATATAT